TTATTGGCAAAAAACCTGCGGGAATTTGGTGTGTTTTAGCTATTTACCAGGGAAAGTACTGGCTTGTTGGCTTGCTTCCCTCTTTCCCTCCCTCGCTTTCACTGTTGCTCTTTCTTCCCTTTTAATGTCACGGAGCAGGACATTCTTCATGGTGACCCCGAGGATGCGCTGTATCTGGCCAGTGCTGAAACGGCCCCCAGTCTTCTTTCCCTGAAGACCATGCTTGGCAAAAATCTGGACTTGACTTCCCTGTGATACTGAACATCCCCCCATCTCTTCCCCAGTATCTCTGATCCCTAAAGCTGGCTGGCTGGCTTTCAGAAAAAGTCAGCAATTATCTGAAAAGCATGCAGCACAGATGAGGGCCTCCCTCTGCCCGTGTGGCCAGGAAGGGAGGCTGGGTCAGGGCGGTGAACGGAGCTCTTGGCCTCCAGGGCCTTGTTTCATGTCTGGTTCAGGCCTTCGTACTGCAGCCTCCGTGGCAGCCTGGTGGACCCTCTTCTACTGCCATGCCCTGGCTGATCTTAAAATCTTTTAAGATTTTATTTATTTATTTGAGAAAGAGAGAGCATGAGTGGGGGCCGGGGGTGGGGGCAGAGGGAGAAGGAGAAGCAGATTCAGGGCTTGATCCCAGGACCCTGGGATCATGACCTGGGCAGAAGGCAGACACTTAACTGACTGAGCCACCCCAGGCGCCCCTGATCTCTGTTCTTTCTGCCCACAGCCCATGTCACTGATACTGAAGAGGCTGCCAAAATTGAGGTGAGCCACCCCAGCCATCTCCTCCTTCCCCCTCCTCCTCTGCTGCCTTCATTCATGTGCTCCCTTCTGCGTTCTCTAGGACGAGAATACCATCACCTACTCACTTCTCTTGCATCCGGAGGAAGAGGCAGAGGCCTCTGATTACCAGAACCACATTTAGTCTCCATTGTCTTGCCTGTGACCCAGGGAAGGGCATCAGAGAGGCCAGGACGCCTGACCTAAGCTCGCCTTAGGGAAGACAAGAAGATGCCACAGTTCCAAAGGAGAAGAGGGACACTTTCAGAGTCAGCTGCATGAATCCTGAACCTCCCTGTCCTAAAAGTCACAGACAACGGGGTCCCAGATGACTGACTGCCCTGGTTCCTTCTGTGTCTCGGCACTTCTCTCCATCAGGACTCTTCTGCATACGTCCACACGGCAGATAAAAATTACTTTTATTAAGAGGTAGTAGCAACATGGGAAATGCTTATGTTATAGGTTACCTAAGAAAATTATGTAGGTGTATATGATTTCAGGAATGTCGAAGCAGATTAACATTTGCCAACATATTAAAAGTGATGTTTCAGGGTGATGGGATTATTGGTGATTTTCGTTTTCTTTATTTTTCTATATAGACCATGTATTACCTTTATAATAAAATACTAGAAAAAAAGGCTGTATTGGTTGGAGTGTGGACTGACCCGTTTCTTTTCAAGGATAAAAATCTTGGGAAGGTCGTAATGGGTAGGAGGTGGAGGAGAGGGAAGATTTGGAGTGTAGGGTGAGTGTCCTCTTCTTAAAACTGAATACTCTTTGGGCGCCCGGGTGGCTCAGTTGTTAAGCGTCTGCCTTCGGCTCAGGTCATGATCCCAGGGTCCTGGGATCGAGCCCCGCATCAGGCTCCCTGCTCGGTGGGAAGCCTGCTTCTCCCTCTCCCACTCCCCCTGCTTGTGTTCCTGCTCTTGCTCTCTCTCTCTCTCTCTCTGTCAGATTAATAAATAAAAATAAAAAATCTTAAAAAAAAACACCTGAATGCTCTTTAAAGATGGTCTTCTGGTTTCCATGTCTTCTTCCTCTTCCTCCCATGACAAAGAAAACAATCACTTTGTTTTGCAACACCAGTTCTCAGGAAGCCAAGCTTTGGATGAGTCCTCGTGGAGATTGCTGTCTCTTCCTGCCTCTGCTGTTCTGCTATATTTACCAGAAGGATGTGGCCTTCTCAGGGAAGCCATTCTGGCAGATTAAAAACATGACTGACAGCTTCTCTGGGGGTTTGGTGGGCACCCTTGGAGAGGCCTTGTTTTACTGGGACTCTCTCACAGCTTCATTGTGCAGCATTCTTGCATTCATGATTTAGCCGCTTCCTTTCTTGTATAGTTTTCATGGCTTTCTATGATAGTCACATTTTATTTTATTTTATTTTTTGAGAGAGAGAGCGAGAGCGAGAGAGTGTGTGTATGTGAGTGGGGTAAGGGAGGGACAGAGGGAGAGGGAGAGAGAATCTTAGGAAGGCTCTATGCCCAGCACGGAGCCTGATGCAGGGATTGATCTCAGGACGCTGAGATCATCACCTGAGCCAAAATGGAGTCAGATGCTCGACAGACTGAGTCACCCAGGTGGCTCACCCACCCCTATGATACATTGTATAGTCCCACAGTTAGATTTCACACTCACCTATTGTTATAATAAGGAATAATAGTAATGTGATTACTAGGTTATTGAGGGCTTACTTTATGCCAAACTATGTGCTTTAGAATTAGAGAGTTTCAGAGTGTCAGCCTTTCATATTTCTTCTTTTGTGATTTTCCTATTCACAAATTCTTGCCCATTTTTATAGTAATAATGTGTATCTATTTATAAATTACATGGTAGCAACTTATTTCCAAAAGGAAATAAAATTTTCTTTTTTTTTTTTTAAAGATTTTATTTATTTATTTGACAGAGAGAAAGAGAGCGAGAGCAGGAACACAAGCAGGGGGAATGGGAGAGGGAGAAGCAGGCTTCCTGCCTAGCAGGGAGCCTGATGTGAGACTTGATCCCAGGGCCCTGGGATCATGACCTGAGCCGAAGGCAGACGCTTAACGACTGAGCCACCCAGGCACCCAGGAAATAAAAATTTCTATGTAAATTATTTTACTACACTAATATTCTTTTTATAAAATTAAAATACAGATAAGCAAAAGAGATAATTAAGATCACCTATAAGCCCGCAAACCACAATCGATGTTAACATAAAGGGTGCCAATCCATGTTCCTTTCAGTAGCAATAGGTGCGTGTATTTTAAAAGTTGGATCATATCATATTTTTACATGTTCATAAACACACATAGGCAGAAATTCATGCTCACTGTAAGCATGTAGCTCAAACACTACAGAAATACAAAGAAGTAAAAGTGAATGTTCCCTTTCACTGCACCCGGTCTTGTTCCCCTTTCCATGGGTAACTGCTGTTGAACATTTGGTGTGGATTTGGTTCTGGACTTTTTGGTATGCATCTAACACTTATTTATGTTTTTTTATGGTTTTTTAAAGACCATAAGTGGAACTATACTTTACATATGCTTATGCAGTTGCTTTCTTTTGATTAGTAATATATTATGGAGCTCTTTCCATGGACCTCTTTTTCTTTTTAAGGATTATATAGTATCTCATAGTACAAATACTATACCACATTTTACTTAACCGACACTTTAATTGTTACCAATTGGTCAGTGTTGTACACAGTGCTGCAATAAATAACTTTTTCGGATGCTATTTTTGACAGCACGTGTGACTATTTCTGAAGAATAAATTCCTAAAAAAGCAGCTTACATGTCCTCCCAAAGTATATTAGAGTGCCCATTTCCTGACACCCTTGTCAATGTTGAGCACTTTACATTTTTAATTTTTGCCAATCTGATTAGAATGGACTCTGTTACTGTTCCCTACCCAGCATGAGTGTCCCCTGATTTTAGTAACAAAGACTGCTTTGCTTTGGCAAAACAGGTGGGTAGGTGGGCAGACTTCAAACCTGATTCCAGAGGACAGCGTGCACCCAAGTTGGTCAAGCAGGTGCTGTTTCCCTAGAATTTAAATCTGGAACAGATTAGACTGTGACTGAAGGCGGTGAAGTTCATCCCAAATGGCACTGCCTGGATGAGACCAACTTCCTACATCCTTAAATCTGCCTTGTTTCTTATAGTTTGTAAGGTCTGTCAGCTTCCTCTTATAGTAGATAATTTAAGTTGATAGACTCCTCCTCTAATATCCTATGGGATTGATACCTTTTTTGGAATAGATCTTTGACAAAGTTTTGTGTCCTGTCTTTATTGGTCTCATCAGGCTTTTCTATCTCTTTTGGAGTCTAGTTTGAAAAATCATCCATTTTACTGGTATGTAGCTGTACACTACATTTTTTCCCTATTTTTTGGTAATAATTTATGTGTCTGTACTTACATTCCCCCCTCTCCTACCTAGCTTTTGGGCTTTCTTTCTTCTATCAGTTAGATTATTTCAGCTGGAAATAACAGGAAAGCATGATCCAAATTGGCTTAAACAATAAGGAAATGTATTATCTCATATAACAAAAAGTCCAGAGACAGGATGTCTCCAGTACATCAGGACTCTGGGTCCAGTTTTCTGCAACTCTCTGGGCACTGTCCTTGGGCTAGCGGCAAGATGATTATAGCAGCTCTGAGCATCATACCCCAAAATCTAGAGAAAGAAAGGGACTAACTACGTCTTCTATGCGTCTCTTTCTTAAAAGTGTTGAACATTTCTCCAGAAATCTTGCCATATCATATTGGTCAGGACTAAGAAACATGCCCATTCCTAAATTGATCACTAGAAAGGGGAATCGCCCACCACAACCTACTCAGCTTAATCATTCTGAGAGGCAACCACCGTGACCACTTTATCTGTTTATCTTAATCAAACTTGCCAAAGGTTTGTCTGTTTTATTAGTCCTGTCACAGATTTTGTCTTATTGATCAGGTTTTTACCGTCTGTTTCCCAATGCATTGTTTCTTCTACTTTATTTAGATTTACTGCATTACTCATTTATTTCTAAACTGTTTATAAACAAATTCACAAAGGCTATAACTTTTCCTCTTTTTGTTATTTTGGCTACATCCATTGGATTTTGATATGTCTTCCTGTCATTGTTACTTGTTTCTAAATAATCTATAACTTTAGTTTTACTTTCTTCTTTTTTTAAAGATTTTATTTATTTATTTATTTGAGAGAGAGTGCAAGCGTGAGAGCATGAGTTAGGGGAGGGGTAAAGGGGGAGGGAGAAGCAGACTCCCTGCTGAGTATGGAGCTGATCCCAGGACCCCAAGATCATGACCCTAGCCAAAGGCAGGTGCTCAACTGACTGAGCCACCCAGGTGCCCCTAGTTTTACTTTCTTCTTAAGTTTGATATAGAAGACTGTTGTATTTTCTTGGTTCATTTTATTTCCAAGAAGAATAAGCGTTATCTTCTTTGTTGCTATTTTCCATTTTCATTGCATGGTGATGTGGTCTATGTGATTTTTCTGCATTAAATGTTTTTAAATGTATATGTGAAGATAGTGCTTTCTTTCATTTTAAAACATTTTTTAAAATTTTCTCTTAGAGTAACACACACACAATTTGAATTATGTAGTAGGACATAAGACATATAATAAAAAATAGCTGGTTTTTGACCCTTTCCTTGCATTCCCTCTGTCCTGTTCCCCAGAGGCAATGCTTTTCAACAATTTTAACTATGTCTTCTGTTAATTTACCACCATATTTCCAACGATATAATCTGCTGCTATCTCTTGATTTTTCAATATTAAGTATTATCCATTTGATTTCCCACCATAGAATATGAAGACTACTCTTAATATACCATCGTTACACACTTCCCACTTTCCTTACCCACTGCTCCAAGGCAGCTTTATCATGATTTTATGACCACTGTTCTTTACTGAGACACACAGTGTTCTCTGATTACACTTCCTTTTCTGAACAATCTTTTCCTCTCTAGAGATAATAACTGCTTCATTTTTGTCATTTGGTTAGTTGTCTATGTATCTATTATTAGCTTTTCCCCAATTTTCAAAAACATTCTGAAACAACTTAATACTATTTCCCACATGGTCAAATGTACCAGGAAGTTTTTCAGTTTCTCTTTCTTTCTTTCTACCCCTACCCCCACCTTTTTTTTTCATCAGCAAAAAGTCTCTTCTGGAATTCTCTGTTCTCTGGCACTAATTTAGATTGTTTGATCTCTAGGCCCCCATGTATTGCTGTTGTCCTGGGACTTTCCTGCATCTATCTTTTGTATTAAACCTCCTTTTTCCTGAATCTTATGTCTTCCTATCTTGGTTTACTTCCTTGCCAGGGCATCCTGAAAAATGGTGCCTGGATGGTATACCAGATGCCACTGATGTCCCACCTCATACCTACTCAACTCACCTGAATTCACCTGCACTTGCTAGCTTGTTCAATTTCTCTTGAGACTCTAACTATGTTGGGGGGAAAATTAGTCTCCTGGAAACACCCACTCCTGTTGGGTAGGAGAGAGGCCATAAGTGTCTAATTTCTCCTTATACAGAGATATATCCTTTTATTTTCAAAATCATTATTGATCTATATCTTGTGTTGTACCTAATTCTTCCCATTCCTGAACCTTTCTTGGGATCTTTCAGGAAAA